GTTGCTTTACCATTTGCTGGGCTTCCTTAAGCGCACCAGCTTATTTTCATTCGGTGCTACGATAGCTAAAAAAGCATCACAATTTGCCTTCCTCTTCCTGCTACACCTGCGGCCCCGTTTAAGCCATCGCCTCGCGCTAACTGCACCCGTCTTCCTTCAGCACCACCAGCGTGAAGAATAAATCGAGAAGAGAGCCAGTTGTGATGCCAATTGTGGCATACAAAGCGCCAATGTTCATGGCCAAGTTGCGTTTCTCTCTCCACACGCCTGCGATGTAGCGGCACGCCGCACGAGCCTCATCTGATTCCCCGTTCACTGTGTCATCCGTCGTCTGGGCCTCCCTCTCCACGTCTTCCTTCTCCACGTCGCCGTCAGACCTCCGGCGTGAGGCAACGAACTCTACAATCTCTCGCTCCTCGTCCTCCTGCATCACACGCGTCTCCTCTAGAATGTTGTAGAACACATTAACGTAAGAGGCACCGCCCATCAGGCCCACAAAGATCATCCACGCAAACAGTCCGAATGCAAACTTCAGCTCGCGATCCTCATCGTCCGGGTCCGACATGTACTTGACCTTCGCCTGCACGAACCAAGCGATCGCGTTGAGAGTCTGCACGATCGTCATGATCCACACATGGCGGATGCGAAGGCACAAAAGGCTGCTGCGGGAGATCAGCACACCGAATTGGTAGCACAGCTGCGTGATGACGAACGAATTCTTCAGCCAGAAGTTCTGGCTCTCCTCGACTTCACCGCAAGGGAAGCTGAATGGTGCCATGAACTGCACAGCGTACTCCGCGACATACACCAAGGCGAGGTTGATGTTGTTCCACAGCGTGAACTTGTGCATCTCCTTCAGCACGGGCCACACATCACGTTTCCATTTCGCCCATCCACCAATCTGAGCATCAGTCTCCGCCGGCTCACTTTCCGACGCCTCCACGTAGCCATCGCCCATGGCAGCCTGCCTCCTCACACGATTCAGCTCCTTCAGACACTCCGGCATCTGTTCGGGCTCGGGTGGAACGATGTTTGTCCACGGTGTGCCGATCCAGTTCACCATCGCCTTGCAGACGTAGCCGGTAACAATCTCACCCACAGGGCCGTCATCACCCTCATCACCCTCATCCAACTCCGCCACACCGGCAGAATCTACCGGCACGTAGAAAGGCATCTTCAGGCCGAAGAAGTACAGCAGACAGTACACAACGATCAAGGGGAGGCTAATCAGGAAGATCTGCGAGTTGGTCAGGCCGGCCGTGGTCAGACCAAGGTAGATCAGCGAAGCGGCAACACCAGACAGACCCGTTCCTGAAGACCACGCGCCAATCTGCTTCGACGGCATACGTTCCATGTAGCCGAGAAAAACAGC